ATTTGATGATTTGGTTTCTAAGAAAATGACATTAAGTGCAATGACTATATTTATCGTTGAAAAAACCCTGATCGGTATAGTTTGCCGTGGCAACAAGGTAAAGAAGAATATTGTATGATGGTCTCAAAAGACACAGAAAGGCACTTGACAAAGTTCACTGTATATTAAAAAAAAAAAATCAGAAGAAAACAAAGGAAAATTCCTCAAGTGGTGAGTGACCAATGGGTCCACCATGCTTGTGGTTAGGGTACTGGGCACTATGGAACACAGACCCTTCCTCCCCCTACAAAAAAAGCCCAAAAAACAAAACCCAAGGAAAATCATATTCAAATGACCCTATCCAAAATTTTGCCTTCATAAAATGTTTAATAAATCTATTTTTTTTTTTTAAACATAGCCTCCATGCCCAGCATGGAGCCCAACGCGGGGCTTGAACTCCCAACCCTGAGATCAAGACCTGAGCCGAAATCAAGAGCAGGATGCTTCACCGACTGAGCCATCCAGGTGCCCTTCAAGGAAGGTAATTTTAAAAATCATTTTTCCTTATAATTGAAGATACAGCGATGAAACACATAATATTTTGAGTTATATATAAATTAGGAAGCCCCATTTGGTTTCTTGGACAACTCCACAAGTTACAAGAAATGTCAGGTGAAACATCAAAATACCCTTGGATATATTTGCATTTGAATAAATCCATACTACACAGAACTGATTTGTAAAGTTAAATATTTTTAGAGAAGTTGTCCTGAGAGAATCATCAGCTCCAGAAGTACTGAAATTCACATTCAAAATGGACTTAGCTGAAATTTGCAATGCTGTCGGGGACTACAAAATATTGGCAGGAGCCTCATGCAGTTGGATCAGCAGGAGGCTAATTCTAAAAATTAAATATTATCATAACCGTGTGTGACTTCACATTTTTATATAAATCAAAAATGAAGTTGCTCAAATATACATTTTAAGGATGTCATCAATTTGCAGATGAGCAAGCTAGGAAAATATTATAATCAACCAAGCTGTTGAATACAAATTTTGGGGGGGGGTTATATTATTTTTTTTAAGATTTTATTTATTTATTCATGAGAGACAGACAGAGAGAGAGAGAGAAAGAGAGAGGGAGGCAGAGGGAGAAGCAGGCTCCCCAAGGAGCAGGGAGCCCGACGCGGGATTCGATCCGAGGACCCTGGGATCGTGACCTGAGCCGAAGGCAGACGCTTAACCATCTGAGCCACCCCTGCGCCCTTTGGGTTATATTAGATAAAATCCTGACACCATAACAGTGGTGGAGGGGGCCTTCCCCTCCATCTTATGCAACAGCATCCCTGAAGGGGAGTTGGGGTTCCTCCTTATGGGCAAGCGAGGTGACTCTTGGTTCTTCACTTGTCCTTTGCTGCCAGGGTGGGGGTGCGGCCACAGTTCTTTGATATTTTCCTGGAGTAGAGCAGTTACTGTCTAAAAGTATATGTCTCTCTAGGTTGCCCCTTTCCTGGTCCTTTGGCTAGAGAGAGAAAACTTTTGGAGGGTTTTGTTTATCTCCTTTCACTGGTATTTCTGGGTCGCTGGCTTCTTCAGTTGCATCTCTGGGGTATATGATGCTTGAAGGAAGCCTGTGGAATTTATGATTGTGTCATGCCTTCTTTTCTCCGCCTTTCGGAGTCCCCTTGGGTTTGCTTTCTAGATAATGTCTGGGACTTTTGGCTTTATCTGACAAGAAGAACAGAGAAAAATGTGTCTACTCCATTTTTCCTGAAGCAGAAGTTCCTCTTTGATTTTAATAAGTCATAAAATAATTTTAAAGGAAAAACCTTTATTTTAGTACTTTAAAAAAGTTTTTATTTAAACTCCAATTTGTTAACATACGGTGTAATGTTAGTTTCAGGTGCACAATACAGGGATCCAACACTTCCATACAACACCTGGTGCTCATCATGACAGGTGCGCTCCTTCATCCCCATCTCCTATTTCCCCCAACTCCCCACCCCACCTCCCCTCTGCTAACCAGCAGTTTCTTCTCTATAGTTAACAGTCTGTTTCTTGGTTTGCCTCTCTCTCTCTCTCTCTTTTTTTTTGCCCTAGCAAATGTGTATTTTAACAGAGATTTTAAAGGCATAAAAAGTAATATATTTTTAAAATATATTTTATTTATTTATTTGACAGAGAGAGAGAGAGCACAAGTAGGGGGAGCTGCAGAGGGAGAGGGAGAGGGAGAAGCAGACTCCCCGCTGAGTAGGGAGCCCGACACGGGGCTCTATCCCAGAACCCTGGGATCACGACCCAAGCTGAAGGCAGACCGGTTAACCAACTGAGCCACCCAGGCGCCCTAACAGCCTGGTTCTGAAAGCCCAAGGGCTTAAGGCAGCAATGCTGGAAGCAAGGTCAGAAAAGGGCAGCTGGGGCCACAGAGGCGGGTCAGGTTCAAGAGTGGGATGGTCCCCTCATCACAGCACTGCCGCAAGGGGTTGTAGATCTGGTCCTCACACGTGGGCGCTGGCTGGCACAGCCACGGTCCTGTGTCTGGGGGAGTCACTGCAGAATGGGCTCCAGGGACCAGACTAGAACCTCTGGAGCCCCCACCTCCATCTATGGTACCATCTCCTTCCTCCACACTACACCTGCTCTCACCTTCGACTCCTTCTGAGCCTGAGCTCAGGAGTTCAGAATGGAAGGCGGCAGCTGAGAAGCAGAGCGGCATGAGAATGATGGAGAGAGTATCAGCACCAGGGTACAGAAGATGGTCACTGAGCTGCATTCACTGTGGGCCACATCTCAGAGTGGACGTTGACACGGACTCGGGGTGGCAGGGAGGGCTCCGGGAAGGGCTGGGCCTAACAGTTGCAGGTCAGGGGAGAGACTGAGGTGCAGTCAGAGATCCCCTGGGGATGATTACCAAATAGGAAGCCAAGAATTGAACAGGCGAGAGGGCATTACATTTGAGGTTCAGAGGTACATTAGGGATGTGACGAGACAGAAGCTTGGGACCTGAGTGCCCCATGGATCCTTACCAAAGATCCTGGGCACCATGGTTCTCGATTCTCGGCTCCAGAGCAGCTGAGGGCAGAGCAGCCCCAGAGCTGGGTCTGGGACTTTATACTGGGACTTTGATAGACACCCTTACCCCCCACCTGGGGAACCTACTGGACTCACAGGATGACAGAGGAGGCTGAGCTGCTGAAAGGGGAGGGGCATGCCGCCCCCTGCTCTCTCTCAAATAAAATAAATAAATAAAATCTTTAAAAGGGGAAGGGGCGTGAAGACTCAGGGTTCTGTGTAAGACAAAAGCCCATCAAGAAATGTGGCTAAACTAGCTCCATCTGGCCGCAACCTTCCCAGCTATCTCCAAACCTCAGGGTCGATGCGACTGTGGATACGCTCAAAGTGGTGACTCTAGCAAGTGCCTTTCTCTGAAGGCCGCTAGGGGAAACCCAGCTGGAAACGCTTGCTTGTCAAGTCACCTGCCGGACACCCACTTTTTCTAGACTTCCCATATTGCCCTGCCCTGGAGGTTTCAAGGGGCCCCTATACTCCCCCTGCAAGGGACCTCCAGACCCACCCTGTGTGTCTTTTTCAGACTCATTTGTGGGAGATGCTGGGAGTTGTGGCATGATCTAGAAGAAGAGCAGGGGCTGCAGAAACTCTGCTGGAGAGACCCAGAAAGGAATAGGGAACCACAGGATAGACTTCCGGAATTCATAAAACAGACTGCAAGGCATCAGATTATAGAGTGTCTTGTCCAAAGGAACGCTCCATCCACGCTTCTTCCTAGGATTTTATTGTCACCATTAGCGTTATTTGTATGAGGAGAAAATACAGGGGCTATTATTAGGTGCACCCCTCTGTTTCCTGGTGGCTGCCTCCCCACGGCACAGGGGAAAGATCGGGAAGGAGAAAGAGCAAGAAAGCAGAGGATTTATGTACATCCTTGTAGATGTGCATTGTTGGTGGGAGGGGCTCCTCCCTCTCCTCTCTAAGTGCGTGAGCAATATTGAGTGGGAGTGGTCTTGTTCCTGAAACCCAAGTTTGGCTGCCTTTCCCTGGAAAGGTCAATACGCAAGAGATGAGTTTTGATTGCGAAGGAAGAGGAGCATTTTTCAGGAGGCCAGCCACCTGGGGAGAAGGTGGGCTCTTGTTCAAAGGCCAACTCCGAGGTTTCTGCCTTGTCCGGAGATTTTTTTTTTTTTAAGATTTTATTTATTTATTTGACAGAGAGAGACAGAGCGAGAAAGGGAACACAAGCAGGGGGAGTGGGAGAGGGAGAAGCAGGCTTCCCGCGGAGCAGGGAGCCCGATGTAGGGCTCGATCCCAGGACTCTGGGATCATGACCTGAGCCGAAGGCAGATGCTTAAGGACTGGGCCACCCAGGGCGCCCCTGGTCTGGAGATTTTTAAAGGGGTTTAATCAGTTAAGGGAGCATAGGGGTCTGTGACATTTCTGGCTTACGTGCAGACTGCATGATACCAGCTACTGAGTTACCTCCATGCTGGGAGGTTGTGCAAGAAATTCTGGTTTCTTGGTGCCCAGGGTTTGGGCGGGTTGCACAAGAAGGTCTGATTTCTCCATACCCAGGTGTTGTGCAAGAGTACTCTGTTCCTTCTGCAAAGGTGGGCAAGATTTACAGATGTGCAAAGGGAGGCCGGTAAAGTCATGTGTGTGACCTTAAAAAGAAACATTTTGCTAAAAGAGTTTTGGGCGGGTCAGAAAGCCCAGGGGGCTTCAAGCTGACTTGCTGGCCTCTGTGGCCTGGAAAAGTTCTGGTCCCTTATTGCCCAAGGCCAGTAGTCTATAAATTTCAAAGAAAGCAAATTAATTCTGTTACAGATAAAGGGCCTTAAGTCAGCAAACAAGGAGTGTGTTCCTTTGAAGCAAGATAACCCTTAAAACTGGGCTGGAGGGCTGTTATAGTCTGAGGATACATGCATATAAATAAGCCCTTCTCCCCTAATTTGGCAGGAGTCTGTGTGGGTTGGTATATGTTTTTTGCTTTTGTTTATTTGTTTATTTTAAATATGGAACGCTTCACAAATTTGCAAGTCATCCTTGTACAGGGGCCATTCTAATCTCTGTATCGTTCCAGTTTTAGTGTATGTGCTGTCCAAGCCAGCACTGTGTGGGTTGGTATTTGCATGTGCAGATTTCCACAATATCTCCTTGTGCGCATGCCACCCCAACAGGAGACCCAACCTTGGAGACGCACACTCACTTACACAAAACAGCTGAAGGGACCACAGACCTGGAAGAATTACATTCCTGTCTTCTAAATGAATTAGCTGGGTACTTCATTCATAATTCTGAACCTACAAGCAAGGAATTTCTGGCCACATGAAGGAGAATGTTCTAGATAAACAGTACAACTGACTATAAAGCCAAATCATAAAAGTCATTAGTAGAAGAATTAACCTCTGTATAATTAAATTATCTTCATAGAAAGCTCATGAAACCTCTTGTCAGTCAAGAAGCAAGGCTGGAGGGCACCTGGGTGGCTCAGATGGTTAAACGTCTGCCTTCGGCTCAGGTCATGATCCCAGGGTCCTGGGATCGAGTCCCACATCAGGCTCCCTGCTCCTTGGCAGCCTGCTTCTCCCTCTGCTTCTCTCTCTCTCTCATATGAATAAACAAATAAAATCTTTAAAAAATAAAAATAAAAAAAAAGCAAGGCTGGTAGATTCAGCCAGTAAAAACCCAAAAAAGCTGGAGCACACAACTGGCTCAGTCTGGGGAGCATGTGACTCTTTTTTTTTTTTTTTAAAGATTTTATTTATTTATTTGACAGAGAGACACAGAGACAGCAGGAACACAAGCAGGGGGAGTGGGAGAGGGAGAAGCAGGCTTCCCGCGGAGCAGGGAGCCCGACGTAGGACTCAATCCCAGGACCCTGGGATCATGACCTGAGCCGAAGGCAGACGCTTAACGATTGAGCCACCCAGGCGCCCGAGCATGTGACTCTTGATTTCATGGTTGTGAGTTCGAGGCCCACGTTTTAAGCCCAGTGCGAGGTTTGAACGCAGGACTCTGAGGTCAAGACCTGAGCTGAGATCAAGAGTTGGACACTCTACTGACACCAGGCACCCCCCCAAAATAAAAAAATCTTAAAAAAAAAAAAAAGAATCCAAGTTCTTATGTCCTGAAACATTTCTATCCAAAATGTTCCTGGAAATAGACTCAATTTGGATCATAAGGAATATGCTGGAGTCCCCAGTTTCCATGGTATTTACAAATGCATTTATTTTATTCAATACTTTAAGTACCAGCTAGAGGAAGTGTGATTATTTCCTTGTATGCAAAGAGCACGCTGAAGTTCTGAGACGCTAAGTCATTCAACAAAAAAAATCCCACAGCTTGTGAATGGTAGAGTCAGGTCCCTAAAATCATCAAAGAGAATTATAAGCATATTATTTAAAACGATGAAGAGGCTAATGCCAGAAATTGGTAACAACATGGGGCTCAGGAGTGCAGATGGGGATGGAGGTCAAAGGAAGGGAGTTCAATTTTTATTTTTAATTTTTAAAAAAGCATCAGCTGGAAGTTTGCCTTGGAAAATTTATTTTTTTTAAGATTTTATTTATTTGACAGAAATAGAGAGAGAGCACAAATAGGCAGAGCAGCAGGCAGAGGGAGAGGGAGAAGCAGGCTCTCCACTGAGCACGGAGCCTGACGTGGGGCTTGATCCCAGGACTCCGGGATCGTGACCTGAGCGGAAGGCAGCTGCTTAACCGACTGAGCCACCCAGGCGCCCTGCCTTTGAAAATTTAAAAGGAACCCGGGTTGGGCAAATAACCAGGGCAGTCTCCACCTGCCCGATAAGCAAAATGATAGTGTTAAGCATGGGCACTAAGGGGGACAGATAGAATGCGTTCGTTCTTATTTATTTATTTATGAAGAGCGTGCCTACCTAGCGCGCAGGAGTAGGGGAGGGAAAGGGAAGGGGATAGGGAGAGACAGAATCTTAAGCAGGCTCCACGCCCAGCATGGAGCCCGAGGCAGGGGCTCTATGTCACATTCCTGAGATGCTGACCTGAGCCGAAATCAAGAGTTGGTCGCTTAACCCACTGAGCCACCCAGGCGCCCCTGGATCCTTCTTCTTCTTCTTTTTTTTTTTTGATGTTTATTTATTTATTCATGAGAATCAAAGAGAGAGAGAGGCAGAGGCAGAGGCAGAGGCAAAGGTAGAAGCAGAGGCAGAGGCAGCCTCCCCGCCTAGCAGGGAGTCTGATGCGGGACTCGATTCCAGGACCCTGGGATCATGACCTGAGCCGAAGGCAGACGCTTAACCATCTGAGCCACCCAGGTGCCCCTGGATCCTTATTCTTTATCAGTGGGGGGAATTGGCAGCACTTGGAGGATGGGGAGGAGGGGCTGCCTGAGCCGAGCCCTGAAAGAGGATTGAATGACTCAGATGAAGGGGGGGGGGGAGGGGGGGGGGGGGGTGGGGCATCAAGCAGAGACCCGCAGGTGAGCCAGGCTTGGAAGCCCGTTTGGGGAACTGTGGGGAGTGAGCGTTGGGGTGCCTGGTGGAGGCAAGTGGTGCTGGAGAAGGAGACAGTGCTGGAGAACAAGCAAGGCAGATCAGGAAGGACCTTGCTGGATGTGCTGGGCAGGTTGGATTGGGTTTCATCCTGGAGGCATCCGGGAATCACTCGATTTTAAGCAGCCTCAAAGATCCAAACCAGGTCACATTTGGGGCGTACCACTGTAGGTGTTTCTTTGTTTTAATATTGTTTTGCCAGGAGGTACTGACTGTTCTTTCTTACAGGCCCCTTTTGAGAATGTTTGTGGTGTGAATAGCCTTAAAGCCTTGCAAGATAAAAGGGAGTATCTCCCTCCAGGGGGAAGGATGGATTTGTTTAGTGTCCTGTGAGATAGTGGTAAGATCTTCCCTAAGGACAAAAGCCAGGCAAGCTTACCACCCATTATGAAAAATTCAGATTTCCTGACTTCAGATACAGATTCATCTCCTGTAATGCAATCCACTGGCATCCCCTGGACCTCCTCCCTTGCCCTGTAGGAACTGTGGCTCGGGGGACAGGTGCACATGCTGGTACCCGGTTACTCCCTGTTGCTGGGAGCAAAAGCTATCCTTTGTCTCTGACCCAGAAGTCTTGTGTCTTCTGGGAGAAACCATAGGATGTGGCAGGATACAGTAAGGTTAATATCAGTCCCTTCCTAGTTTCTGACAAATGGTTTATTTATGTTTGTCTTTATTTATACTTAACCATTTCTGAAGAGCCTTATATGTTCTGTGCTGCTATTGACCATCAGGGTAAAGAAAGACAAACTTGGGGCGCCTGGGTGGCTCAGTCAGTTGAGTGCCTGCCTTGGCTCAGGTCATGATCCCAGAGTCCGGGGATCGAGCTTCATGTCAGGCTCCCTGCTCAGTGGGGATTCTGCTTCTCCCTCTCGTTCTGTCCCTCCCTGCTGCTCGTGTGCGCGCTCTCTCTTGCTCTCTCAAATAAATAAATAAAATCTTTAAAAAAAAAAAGAAAGACAAACTCATACATAAGTGATTTCATCTTATTAATAGAATTTATACTACTTTTTTTTTAAGATAATGTTTATCTTTTTTTTAAAGGTTTATTTATTTATTTAGAGAGAGTGAGAATGAGAGAGAGAGAGTACATGAGAGGGGGGAGGGTTAGAGGGAGAAGCAGGCTCCTCGCCGAGCAGGGAGCCCGATGCGGGACTCGATCCCGGGACTCCAGGATCATGACCTGAGCTGAAGGCAGTTGCTTAACCAACTGAGCCACCCAGGCGCCCCAGAATTTATACTACTTTTGAGCAACTTTATTGGGATCTAGTTTACACATCGTAAAGTTTACCAGTTGGAAGTGTACATGATTCAGTGATAGTTTTGCAGACTACATTTTGAGATTTTCCATTTTGTGTCTAAGGGCACAGAGACTTTCCAGGAACATGTTCTAGGAGAAGAAAATTCCCACCGGGCAGTGGGAAGCCGTCCAGGCAACACAACCACAGCGGGTTACATTGTGGGAGAAAACCCACAAAAGTTAGGAAGTCGGAATCTTTCTTCATTTTGCTGGTTTTATCCATTCCATCACTGAGAGGATTTGGTGAATTCTCTTTGATTTCTCCTCTCAAAGCATCTTGATTAGCACTGTCCAACAGAACTTTCTGCAATGATGGACACGTTCTTCATCATACTGTCCAACATGGTAGCCACCACTTTAAATGTGGTTAATGAAATCAAGGAACTAAATCTTACATTTTATTTAATTTTAATTGATTAAAAGAGCCACTGTGATCAGTGGCTACCATATTGGAGACCATAGTTCTAAAAAAAAAAAAATGTCAAAACTGTGGCACACACACTGGGGAAGCAGTCATTCCTTGTTTCTGATCCATAGCTTGGTTTCAAAAAGAGCTGGGACTGCTAGGCTGTGTGCTCATTTTTCCAGCCTTCTAGCTGAATCTCAGGGCTCCCCTTGTACCCTTTCAATAAATTCCTTTTCTAACTGAATTACTCCGGGTGTGTTTTATCCTGATTGAAATTTAGACTCCTCCCTGATGTAGAGGATATTTAAAGCGATAGCCCTGAGAAGATTGTTTTCCTATGTTTCGCCAACACTTAAAGGGATATTTACCAGGAGACATTGTTCTGAGTGTCTTACAAATTAGACACATTTGTCATGCTATGTGCTCATGGATACAAACACTAGTACCATTTCACTGGGGTGAAATGGAGAAGTAGCTGAGCAGACTCGATCCCCAGAACATGAACCAGCTTGGCTGATGAGGATCAGCTTGTTAGCCTGCAGATTCCTTTTCATTCAGAGAAAATCACAAGTGGCCGAAAAAAATTTATGCTCCCAAATCATTCTACTGATGTGCTTGACTGAAGTGTGTAGGCTTTTTGCAGAAGAAGTTACTAACTGACCTATTTTCTGTGAACATTTGTGACTGCCCATTCCCCACCAACATCCGTTTTACCTTAGTTAGCATTTTTCTTATCGTTTTTCTTTTTTTCTTTCCCTCTTCCCCTTTGGACATAACTTTCTGTTGAAGCTGTTCTTTGGCTGGTTGGTTTTAGTACTGTAAACTGCTTCTGAGCAAACACGGAAATTTAGCAAAATTATGTAAACTTGATCCTAA